AATAATGATAGTCGTAGTAATAAGGGGAAGGGAAGGCACATAGATTAACTAAATAAACAAAATAATTAAATAAATGTCTATCCATCTGCGGCCAAGGCAGAAGTAGGGATTGTACATACTTCTTTTGTACACAAAGGTCTGGCTTAAAATCATGAATTGCCAAGGCCTCCGCTGCCTTTAGAAGTCTGAACGAAGAAAACGCGGCAAGTTAGCATGGATTAGACAGATGATCTTAAAATCATGGTCAGGCTTGGCAGAGTGATAGAAGTCGATCAGGTGTTCTAGAATAGAGCTTCGCATACACTTCCTTTCTCCCTTGTAAAACCATGCTGGAATATGTTCTCGTATTAGTGTGGAAAGCGTCCTCTGGCTACGGCCAATGTACCTTGCTCTAAAACAGCAGGTGGACTGATAGACGCAGCTTTACTCTCTGTCTGTTTCTCTCTCTCTCTCTGATTAAAAACTAAGTATTATGCCTCTCTACTAATTAAGCACTGAACCGGTCTGAATCGATTTGGTGTATCAGGTTGATATACAGTATTCATTTTTCTTGCTCTTGAACGTAGATAATAAGAGACCTTTTAGCAAGAAATGTAAATACTGAGAATGTCCCAAACATTTCTTGTTAATAGTCATCTTGTAGTTTTCACCAAGACGCAGAAAACTTTTACAGGTTCTCTAGTTGTACTACACACTTTCACTCACTCAAACTTCTTTACTCCTTATTCCCTCGTATAAGTATACCCTCAACAATTTTACCAATTTTACGTGTTTTGTTTTCATTAATTTTACCATAGTTGAAATCTTATTGAAGAAAATAACAACCACTAAATACCAAGTTATACAGGCATCTTTTTCATCCCTTTTAATGCTATTCCTTCTTTCTTTAAATAATCATTTATCAGTCTTCAAAAACTTTCCCACTTCAACACACCAAAGATCTCAAGTAGTTGATAGGATATCCAGTTGATTGTCTGTCTAGCCGGCAATCAGTAATTCAAGCTACAGTACGATGGTAAGCTTTCTAGCTTGGCGACCACAATGCAAACTTGATAGATAGAATCCAGTTGACACCAACACTACGGAGAAGACACATGATGTTAGCTACACCTTATCGATGAATCAGTGTATTCAGTAAACATCTAAATAATAATATATACATTATATATATGATTTATGGAGAATTCAAATAAACTCAACTCATACTGAAGCTTGCGTTGTAAGTGCTGTCTAGGAGGATACTGAAAGCTTTGTGATTAAATCACTTAGTTCAGAGAACGCAACAACATCAGAATTACTTTGTATATATATATATATATGATTTTGATGCCACTATGTGGCTGAAATTGCCATCACACAAAACTCCAAGTAGAATGCTAGATATCCTTAGAAAAACAGATGAAATAACAGAAACACTAAGTATTAGATAGTTGGAGGCAATCGGCAGGAAACCTTGTTTGACCTAGGCTTCGTGCTAGTTGACGCTCACCAGTCAGCAAGGCTTATCTGCAACCTTGAAGGAACTCATGTCCCTTCTGAGATTTGAACCCGGGTCACCCACTGGGGCCTGCAGTCAGAGACGTTACCACTGAGCTATTCGAGCTACTGTTTGACTGGTGGAATTCACTCTGCACCAAAAAAAGAACTAGACACGTCACACTAGTTACTAGTGTCCAATCAAACTACCCACTACAGTCCTACAGGATGTCAATCGCGAGCTCGAATAGCTCAGTGGTAACGTCTCTGACTGCGACACTGGGTGACGCAGGTTCGAATCTCAGAAGGGACATGAGTTCCTTCAAGGTTGCAGATACGCCTTGCTGACGAGTGCCAACTAGCACGAAACCTAGGTTAAGCAAGGCTTCCTGTGGCCGATTGACTCCAACTATCTAATACCATCATATCAATGTGCAACGTAATGGCGAGGTACCTAGAATGGTGGCCACATTGCGAACCTGACTGATCGAATTCAGTTTGCACCAAAGAAAGCACTAGACACGTCACAGTAGTTACTAGTGTCCAATCAAAGAAACACTAAGTGTTTCAAAGATGAACAATGATCAATAAAACTATCATTCTTTTCCAACTCATTTCTTTTGTTCACATGTGGGAAACATGAAAAATCCCCATTAGACTATTCCATTGTGAATAAAAATTTATTTTGATAAAGTCTCACCATAAATATTACTGTATAACACTGTAAGACTTTATCAAAATAAATTTTTATCCACAATGGAATTATACTCTACCACAGTGCACAAGTTCTGTTAGAGTATCTCTGTGTCGGAAAATTAACGCTACCATCAAACCTTAGCTTTGTAGACATTGTGTGACAAAAATCTTGTCTTGAAGATCCCTTGTGTATTCTTAAAGTGCTGTTCATGTGTTTTGAGTTATTCTTGGCCTAGACTGTTTCATTCTTAAAACATCGGAATCTGCTATTGTATTTAAGATCCTGTTGTATAGCATATAGCCTCCTAATATTATTGCTTGTATGGGCAATACATTAAATATCTGTTGGTGTCTAACATGTCCCTGGACTAATGATCAAATGGACTGGAATAGCTGTATACAAATTCTAATTTATGTGGAATCGTATGCATTTGAATAGCTCAGTGAAATGCTGGAGATGGTCATGTATACTCACATATAACAATAATAATAGCTTTATTCTGAACAGTGTTTATATAATGTATAGAATTTTCAGCGGGGTTCGTTGCATGGTATTTTTTCTTAGCCCGGGATCTTCAAATGAAAGATTAATTGACTGACAGTAGATCGTGTGATTAAGTTCTATCTGAACTAATAGCAAATCAATCCACTGTTATACCTCTTCCTTTTGTCCTTCGAGAAACAGACGACATTTTGTTGAATGCCAATTATAAAATGTTCAGGAGTACATTTTGTGAACAAAGGATACCACTTAGGAACGGTCATCTCATGTATTGGGATAAGCTGCCAACCATCGAGGATAATGATATAAGAATAAAACTTGTGCACTGTGGTAGAGTGTAATTCCATTATGGGTAAATTTTGTTTTGATTAAGTCTCACAGTGTTATACAGTAATGTTTACTGATGACGTTTCGAGCACAATTTATGGCTGCTCATAATCATATCAAGGTAATCACACGACTTCCTAAATTCATTTATATAGTTCCGTTGTTTTTCACTTGATTTTCACTTGATTTGATTGGTAGTATTATTTTCCATATTTCGGGTATGAGTGATGAGTCATTCCTATTGCATGTGTTGGGTGTAGATTCGATGAACAAGGATTCAGTAATCAACCTCTTCTCTCCACCTACCTAGATTACTTTTTAGGATTTTAACCCTCTCCCACCCTACTGTGTGGTTGTGTGTTAATGCATGCATTGCAATTGCTGAGCTTTTTTCTAAATTACTTATCTTCTCTGGGTCAACCATTCTTACCTTAGCTAAATTCTTATGTTCTGACAATCTGACTACCCCTGATCTACTAGTTTGACCTATGTAGTTGACCTCACAGTCATTGCAGGGTATTTTGTAAATTATATTATTTTGTCTGATTGGGTCAACTGGGTCCTTTAATCTACAGAGCTTGTCCTACCTGAGTGAGTTTGTAGGTTTGAATGCCATCCTAATTCCTGCTTTATTTAGAATCCTACGTAGGGTCTCAGATGTCCCCTCTTTATATGGTATAACTGTAGATGACTTATATTCTCTCTTATTTATGTTATTATTACTAGTTTCACAATTCTTTTTCTTTTGGCCTTTTTCAATCTTCCTAATGAATTTTAAAGGATAGTTATTTAACACCAACGCCTCTTCTATCTGTTTTATTTCATCATTTAGGTCATTTTTTTGTGCTACTTAGTGCCATTGCTCGGTTTGTTCAACACTTAACTAAGCCTGCCTTAACAGTTAAAGGATGAGTATCAGTAAACATTACTGTATAACACTGTGAGACTTAATCAAAACAAAATTTACCCATAATGGAATCGAAGATAAAGCTTTTTCACATGTTTAGTAGGAACTCGTGAACCAGCAGGTTGCAAATGTAAATGTTTTAAATACTCGCTAGGGTAAACAATGCTATTCGAGGTTATATTTTACTAGATATAAACAAACTGAATAAGGGAAACTATATACAATATATTGATAGAAGTTTTTGGTAGCCCAAGTTTTAAGCAGGCCGTCAGTGCAGACAAATGGAATTTTCTTTAAACAGTTCACCTGATGCTAAAAACGTAAGCCTCGAATTTTCACTAGAACATGAGGCTTGTATGCAGTGTAAACTAACCGCCATGGATAAAAGACACGACACAACTGTACCTACAGTTCCCAAGCTTCACACTACCACTTGATGGGAATAATGGTCATTCTCAAAACACATTTAATCATCCATCTTTCTAAGGTATTGATCACTAACTGTGAGTACTGTGGAATATCTCAAGTTTCATTCAGTATGAGACGGAGTTAAACTTTAGACACTCAACTGGAGCGCAGTCACCAGTGACGTAGAAACGCTCAGTCAGAGCGAGACAGTGAAACTTTCTAAATAACACTATATTGATTAGAAAGTGCTGAACGAAGTGTAATGATGGTAAAAAGGATATCTGGTTAGGGAGACCAGTTAGGGTTAGGCTAAAGAGGGATTAGGACTAGGATTAGGTTAGGGGCTCTAACTTGCTTTTTAGCGCATCTGTTTGTTTCAAGGTAACTGGTACTTCTGAACCTCTTAAGTGTCCATGCCTAATATGAAATTCCGGGAGAATAAGTCCTTGACAAGCACATTTGCTGTGTAATATTTTATCCATAGGCAAAAACAGTATTTTAAAAACTTATTCCGTGATACTTGGCCTACTTAAAACTTACCGGTCATGTAAATTACACTTTTTCAGCCACTTTGTGTTTCAAATTAGCTTAAAATTTAATTTTATCATATTCATGTCTCTATTCTTGCTTTAGTAATTCCTCAAAGTTCTTCTTCTTCGCCTTCTGCATATTATTTTTTTATAGGTTACCGTGGAGTGTATTGATGATGAAGGCCCGTATGCACTTTCAAGGAATGCCAGTCTACATATTACAATAACAGATGTTAATGAGCATAAACCAGTATTCAGCAAAAGTGTATATAACGGTCAAGTAATTGAAAATCAACTTCATGCTGAAGTACATATGACTATACCAATTCAAGCATCTGATGCTGACTTAGGCGTAAATGCTTTAATTACATACAGTTTATTGAGTCCAAATGAATCAATATCACAATTGATAACAGGAAGCACGACTAGTGCAGCATCATCAGCTTTGACCTCACAGTCATCATCATCATCACTGACATCGAATAATTATCTCAACAGTACTGCATTCTTTCGTATAGATCCAATCACTGCTAAAATATGGACTATTCAATCATTAGATTGTGAAAATCGTAGTGAATACCACTTAATAGTTGTTGCTAAAGACTCTGGAGTGCCTGTATCACTTTCTTCTAGTGCAAGTGTTATAATTACTGTAGAAGATGCTAATGACAATGTACCTGAATTTGTTAATACTCACTATTTGTTTGAGGTAAGTTTATTTTGAAACAAAACATTAAATCACTTATTAACTCTATTTGATATTTTATGTTCATTTAAATTTATAGATGGGTTATTTTTCTCATCCTTTTGTATTCTGCGTGGAGCATAGAGCTTCAGGCTCCAGCTATGAAGTATCAGTGGCGCTGTGTGTCTACCCAAACTTCCATCTTTATCTGGCTTCCTATTGGCTAAGAGACGTTTAGGACTACATCCGTCGTCTGGAAATCGAACCCGGGCCACTTGAGGCGTGGTTGGTGAGCATCCTACCAATGGACCACATATGTAGAATTCCCAGATAGTATCAGTCTTCAGGTGAACATAGAGAAAACAGAGGTGATGAAGATTCCTGGCCAGCAGCAACAACAGACAAAAATCAGTATAAATGGGAGAAATCTGAAGGAAGCAACCTCCTTTACCTACCCACCTACCTGAGAAGCATCGTTTCAACTACAGGTGGACGGAACTGATGAGCATATCAAAGGGAGGATCGGGAAAACAAGGCAAGCTTTCATTACTCTCAAGTCAGCATAAAAAACAAGATCCGGATTTCCAACTCCAATGTGAAGTTAGTGCTACTGTACAGATAAGAGACTTCGCGCGTCACGAAGGCCACTTCGGACAAACTACACGCCTTCATCAACAACTGCCTTCGCTCAATACTCAAAATCAAATGGCCAGAAAATATCAGCAGCAGAGATCTCTGGGAGCAAACCAACCAGGAACCAATTGTGTAACAAATATGGAGAAAGAAATGGGTTTGGATTGGCCATACTCCGAGAAAACCATCAAGGGAATGACATCTTACGCCAGGTTGTCACTCGATTGGAATCCGAATGGAAAGTAGCTTGTTGGTCGTCAGTGAGAGGATGACACGGAGGAATTCATGTGAAGAGGAGATGAAAGCATGTAGGCAGACTTGGAGCCAGGTGAGAACGTTGGCAGAGAAGCGAAAGCAATGGAGACGTGTGGTTGAAGCCCTATGTTCCTCTGGGAACTAAAGGAAACAATAATAGTATTATTAAAAATCAGTAGCGAATAATCACCAAAATTCAAACATAGTGTACTGCAAACTGTACCATTATGGGATGAAAAGGCTCACTGAAATGTCCCTCAGTTCCAGCTGTTGTTATCTTTATTCCACAAGTATATTCAGTTACACTTTCAAGAAAAAGGCAAGCAAAAAGAGATGACTTAAGAAGAATTCTGAAGCTTTAAACGTTTTCTTCGATCACTTCACAGTGACTGTAAGAACTGAACATGAGTCATTTTTACTGAATGTTATCCTGGTGTAGTTACTAGTTTGAGTAATTTGTCGTTTTAATCTACTCAGTATACACTTAGCATGATTTGGTGAATCTTTCTTGACTGTGAACACAAGTTTGATACAGCGAAAACTATGGGGATATTTGTCTGCCTGTTTTTATCTTGCCATTTGGTTTTACTATCGTTTTTCGTGAAAATGTCGTACATAAGTGTGTTAATACGGCTGAAGTAAAGGAAATTGCTGAAAGAAGCCCCTCCGCTGAATTATATGGGTTTTTTTCTATTTAAAAAACATATCGGTTATTTTGCGTATCCCTGCTTCTTGTTTGACACATTGTAAAACACAACTGATCTTCTAAAATCAAAACTAATTGGTCGTATCCTTAGGTTATTTAATAAAATTTAATGTCTATCTTCATAGTAGTCCTGAAGGGATTTCCTAGTTTACTAAATTGGTTTCTGTGAAAGTTGTTTCAGAGACTATTAAATGAGCTGAACTTCCAGAAAACTTTGGAGATCTCGCAATATACGGATACAATGGTCTTAAAAGGATTGGGATTTTCACTAGAGAACACTTAATGTTCTCTAACACATCAAACACAGGATTACTCATCAGAATGGTTTTTCAAGGCGACACGAAGTAATTTGTCAAACATATAGCCTTCAGGATCCTGATCATTGGTAGAAATCCAACCAGCTAAGACGGCACTAGGCCTGGAGTGGTTCTAAATGTTGCGTTGTGATTAAAAATGTTTAGAACCCAATGGTCATATGAAGTAGTTATGCAGAATACTACTATCCGAAAGGGACTGACGAAGAATGGATTGGACCAGCTACTTCATGAAGCATCACTGAAAGTGACGTCAGGTGTTCTGTTACAAATAATAAAGCTACAAAGTCCCGAAATACTCGATATAATATGTGTTACTCTAGGAATGACAGGTGGAGAATGAAAAGAAACCTGTCTAAACTTAACCTTAGTGAAGTTTATTCATTCGTTCAGTAGTTGACCAATTGAAGCAGTGGTAATATATTAATAGTGGATATTTGACAAACGGAGTTAAGTTTACTTTTATTTCATTGATAAAAATAACCAACAAAATATTTGATGAATACACCGTTGATTTTAGGATCCCTGTGGCTTTTTAACTGAAACGTTCTAGTTTCGAACCCCACTAGGTGCATACTGTGAAGAGTCACAAACTATGATGAAACAGCTGTCCAGTACTTCCTGACTTTGTGCGTTTGTAGTTCAGTGGTAGAACCACATCTTACGTGGTCTGGGGTTTGATTCCCGATCGGAGCACTTCTAAGCCTCACTTAGCCTATAATAAGCCCAGCAAAAAGAGGAAAGGTTGGGCGTGAGGCTAGAAACCCCACCTCGTAAAAGAGAATAACGCCACTGCTGCTGAAACTTGAAGGCTGAAGCTTGAAGTTCTATGTTCCACTCGGAACGATTTCACTCATCGTAATTTTTGTTCATCACATGAACCTACATAAATGACCTTAATTTGATCACGGAATGTAGACTTTTGAGGAAAGCATTATGAAAAAGACAAAAAATCTTTATTTTTGTTTTAAAACACCATCTAAATATCAAAAATTGTCATTCAGGACTGCAGAAAACACAATAAGACAAAGACAGTCTAACTGTACAATATCACATCTTGCAAAACTATTGTACTATTCCCTTGAAAAACTGACATGGTCTGAGAAGTGTCACTTGTTCTGTTTTCTACCGGTCTTATTTTACCGCTTAACAACTGTTATCTAAACCCAGTCAGTTAACATTATTTCAAAATAATTTTGTTGTCTGTGTTATTAGGTACCCGAAAATGCACCAGGTGGAACAGAAATTGGCATTGTACAAGCAATGGATAAAGATGTTACAATTGTCAACCAACGTGTTCGTTACAATCTCCGTGGAAGTACTGAAGACTTAAAACTGATTACAATTGACCGCACCACTGGAATATTAAGAACTAGACGTCCAATTGACAGGGAATCCAGGTCATCAATCTCACTTGTAGTAGAAGCAGAGAATGAAGTCCCGATTCATCGTTCACCGTCTATGCGAGGTGATAACTTAAACATGCTTATGAAACATATTGGCACAGAAGCAAGTGTAGTGATCACAATTTTAAATTTAAATGATAATCGACCTGAATTCACGCTGATTGAACCACATCGTTCACATGTCACTTTCACATGGGAACAATTAAATCCATTAGTAATACCGAAGTCAACTCAAACAAATAACACTTCTGGGAGTTCAGTCGACTCGAAATCTGATAAAAATCAGAAAATCCCTCCTCTAGAAAATGCTAACCCAGTATGTGAGCCACTGCCACATCGTGTGATCGACAGAGATATGGAATCTGATACTATGTTAGACTGCTGCATTCTAGAGCTTCTAGATAATTACAATGGATTATTTGCTTTAATTCCACAAGCTCCAAGTGTTCTTTGTGCCATGTACCGACCTCCAAGTCCACAGACATATAAATTGACACTTATTGCAAAAGATGGTTTGACGAATGATAGTTTGTCATCTCAGGTAAGCAGAATTTTTATTGATATCACTTCGTGTTATTACAGATACTTAAATATCTCCTGTTCTTTGATCCTATTTATCGCTTCTTCTTTGTGTTCCAAGTGGAGCTTAGGGCTTCAGCAACACACCCGCTTTGGAATAAATAATCCTTAGTCAATTCCAGCTGGATCTACGACTGCCCATTAGCTTTCATTTCCTTCCAATACAACCTCGTCCACGTTACCCAACCCCTAGCTTTCTCTTCGATGGCCTGCTTGGCATATGACGTAATTCAAAGATCACCTCGGCGTTTGTCAAATCTACCTCAATTTCCTCCCATATATTCGTTGGACAATAGGTTCTTGGTTACTTCATTGACAGACTTCCTTCTTGTTGATCTTTTCTGGCCATCTAATCTTCAGTATCTAGCGAAAGCATCTGCTAACAGATGTTGCAAATGCTTCCTGTGGCGCCCACGTCAAATATTTAAGCCAAATAGGAACACTGTGCGTCGGTGGCACAGCGGTAGAATGCTCGAAGACCATGCAGGTGGTTCGATCTCGATCCCCGGACAATACACTTCCTTACCTCGCTAAGCCGGTAATAAGACTGGTAAAGAGGGAAAATTAAGCATGAGGCTAGCAACCTCAACCCATAAAAATTAACACCACTGCTACTAAACTTCAAGCCTCTAGCTAGAAGCCCTATGTTCCACTGGGAAAGTAAAGGAATAAAAAAAAATAGGAACGCCGAATTGATAACTGTATCTTTTGTATCTTAGTCGTTGTGCAGAGTGAGTACAGTAGGTCTCTACACTGATTTTAGAGTAATGAATGCGTGTCCTGCTTTTCCGACACGGTTCTTGTTTGCTTCGAAATCCTCATCCTTGCCGACTTCCTGTATTTGAAACGGTGCTCCCAACGTCTGTTAACTCGAAGAGACTACTTCCTTTAGATTTCGCTTACTGATGGTGATTGACACTTAATGTTGTTAATTGAGTATCTTCATTACTTCTGCTTTCTCTCAGCTTCCTTTCTTCACTGTCCTTTCTGTCAACTTGTTGCTCACTACTTGCGAATCTCCAAGTTTATACACAATAAGAGGTAAATCATCTTCCAAATGCAGATGTTCTGAAGTCTTTTTGTGCGTCTACTGTGTGCCTACTTTCTCACTCCCTATGATCTTATATATGACCCGGTCGATCACAGGTAGCAACATCATCGGTAATAGTAGACAGCCTTGTCTTGCTCCTTTCTTTACTTCAAGCGCTTCAGTGACCTCTCCATGGTAAATTAATTGGCAAATTAAATCGTTATACAGAGCAGTGTTCTGATGATACTAGATAGTTGGAGGCAATCGGCAGGAAGCCTTGGACCTAGGTTTCGTGCTAGTTGGCACTCACAAGTCAGCAAGGAGTGTGTGCATCCTTGAAGGAACTCATGTCCCTGCTTCTGAGATTCGAAACCGCGTCACCCAGTGGGGCTGCAGTCAGAGACGTTACCACTGAGCTTTTCAGGCTCGCGATTGACCTCCTGTAGGACTGTAGTGGGTATTTGGATTGGACACTAGTAACTAGTGTGACGTGTCTAGTCCTTTCTTTGGTGCAGACTGAATTCTATCAGTCAGCTTTTGCAATGTGGCCACCATTCTAGGTAGCTTGCCATCATGGTGCACATTGATTTGATGATATTAGAAACCTGACTGATAGAATTCAGTCTGCACCAAAGAAAGGACTAGACACGTCACACTAGTTACTAGTGTCCAATCCAAAGAGCGGTGTTCTGTCTAAAATGAACGTTAATTCAAAATGCCTGTTTAACTTGTCCGCTTACTGTACAATACTACATCTAATTTTTGCTTCAAAAAACGACATGTATAACTAGTCAAAAGTGTTCGCAATATTAACCAATACTCATTAATTATGGCCTTTATAGTGAATGATAACGACATTTATGAGTAGAGAATTGTGCTCAGTATTCCGACAAGCATTTGAAGGATGATTTCAATAGGTTTTCTTTGAATCTCTTAATTGTACTGAAGTGTACTTACTATCTTTCTAGTGCTCAGCAAGCACTTTTAGACTTTTCCTCACAGAATAACAATTATCCGGTTGTTGAGTCATTAAGTAGGACGGTAAAAGAGCTTGATTTTATTATTACCATGGAAATTATTATTAATGTATAATACTCACAAAATATCTGTCTCTTTAGTCATAGCTATCGTGTACTTAATGGTTGTTAAACAGCTTTATTCTAAAGCTTCTGTAGACAAGTATAGCAACTCAGAAATATTGAATACAATCATAGTTAAAAATGATATTTCGGTAAGAGTCTATGTGAATAAATGAGACATTTTACTCCATCATTAGCTGTAGAAATTTCCCCATTTCACGACATTTGGTTGATGATGGTTAATTGTGGAATCTAAAACACTCATTCGTTATTTTTGTGATTCAGAGGCTGACTGTATTTGACTGAAATGGTGGGTCTGTGCTAACATCACGGCTTTTAGTATGGAAGAGTCAATGATACCTGTTGTTTCTATGACTCGGTAGCCCAATAGAAACGACGACTACTGGCTCTATCTGACTAGGAACTCCATCACTCAAGGGCATTCAATTACATACAGATTAGAAGTACCAAACAGGACGAAATGCACATTCTACATTCAACTGCTAGGCGGCATCAAGCACTAACCTTAAGTCACTATTGATTCGCTCACTGTAGGAGTCAATATGTCAAAAGACACATTAATTTCTGTTCAATAAAGTCAATTAATGCGAAACTGAGAACCATCAAAATCAATCACAGCTAATACATTATCATTTCAAATTTGATCAGAGATTGATATCAGTTAGAGAACTAATGAGAACCACCATGGAGTACTGCGCAACTGTTTTATCCATACTTGGGACTCTTTGCTAGAGCCTGCCTATATCCTACGACCAGGGATCGAACCTAGGACCCTCCTTTTATGAAGATAGGTCGTTAACCATGCAGTCACCATTCCGATAGACCACGAATCCTAACTTCTGTTGATTTGTTGGTTTTAACTTCATATCCAGCCTTCAAACTAACCCTTCAAAATACTTCTAATGTTCACTGATAACTGACTACAGGATGAATGTGCCTGCAGTTCTTACGAGAAGCCGTGACCGGTGGAGGGGGTATACTCGCTGATGACATTAGATAGCGTTGGTGGTGAAAATCGCAAACTAACAGAAGGTCGAATTCATGGATTGTCCTTTGGATTCTGTCTTAGTGGCTAACTGATCAACGAAATCACCTTGTAACTTGAAGATCCTCGCCTTGATCCTTGGTGAAGCGGTGGTTGCGTACTGCCGAAGAGTCCTCAACCAGGCAGAAACAGCTGTCCAGTACTCCTTGGCTCTCAATGATTCTTTCGTTTATGCTAACTTAAAAGCCTTTATTTCATAAATACACAATTACTTTATTCATAAATTCCTAACTCATATGATCGTCCTATTGTAGTTAATTTTCATTCATTCACACTACTTACTAAAAATAGTTAGTAGTATACATGTTTGCTGGAGAATTAAAACAAAAGATAATCTATCTATCTATCTATCTATCAACGTAATGAACTGTCAGCTTGCTAGTTAGTTGTTGTGTAGACTTTCGTGTCGTTTTCAATAAGTGACTAATATTATTATCATCATCAATAATACGGTTATTCTTTTTTTTAGAATAGAATCTGTTTGAATCCGAAAAGTATCAACAATTCAGATACGTACATATATATATTATCTGATCCTTAGTGACAATAACGCGACCAAGTATAAATATTAGTAGTAGTAGTAGTAGTAGTAGTAGTAATAATAATATTGATAATAATGAAAGTAATAATAATGACAATAAAAGGAAACTCGAAAAATTCAGAAATCATTGAGAGAAAGAGAGGGAGAAAAAAGAGCCTGTCGTCTCATCGATCAACTGGTTAATCGGATGTACTCATTTTTCCTGATTAGTCGTCTAAAGCAACTTTGAGAGGAATAATACTAATAATAAAACAAAATCATTCATACAATACCAAACAAAAAAGCGACGCAGTCATTTCACAGGGAAACAGAAAATGACGAATGATGAAATGTCGATGAAATAGGGAAAAAAGTGGGTGGAGGGTGGCGGAAAACTTCACATTTTTAATGCATATTTATTTTTGCTTCGCTTTTTTGGATGGCACTGTATGTTCAATGAATGTAAGGATGCATAGACAGATAGAAAGATGGATGGATATATAAATCAATAATTAATAAATCTAATTAATTTATTAGTTTGTCGTAATTTTGTGACATTATAATTACTATTATTATTATTATTAATATGAATACTATTCATTTTATGCATTTGTCAATTTTTCTCATTTCTCATTTGATATATTTGCTTGCCATTCATTCCTCTGCTCTTCTAACTCTCTCTCCGTCCCACTGTGCCCTCATTGTCCCTCTTTTTTCTCTCCCTACGTTACTCTACCTTCGGTCATCTTGTGAATAAATTATTAGAAATGAATCATATAAGAGTTGGGAAAAAAATATATATATATGTATATTAGAATAACAATAGTAATTAGAAAAGAAGGGAAAAAAATTGCATATTCTTTTGTCATTTCTAAGAATGTTCATCACAGAGATAAAATAATCATAATAGCAATGATGATGATAACAATAATAACAATGGGAAGAATAATTTACCGTGGAAAAATCCCATTAGTACATGCTTGTTTCTTTTTTTAAAATATATATATACATAAATGCATTAGAATAATGCATGAGTAGCTTTCTAATTGAGAGTCGATCGATCAGTCTATTTCATGATGTTCCTTTTTTATTTTTCATTTTCTCGCCTAATAAGAAAACAAAATGTAACTGCACTTAATAAATTAAAACTTGAAGGATGGCGAAATGAGATTTATGCAGATGTGATGTCCTTAAATGTACATAAGTGTTTCAGAAGCAGAATACTTGCGCACTCAAGCCGCTGATAGTCCGGTGTTCGATCCCCGGA